AAAAACCTACAAAAAAACCAAACCAAAACAAACCACAAAAAACCCAACAACAACAAAACCCCAAAAAAACCCAAAACAACAACAAAAAAAAAAGATAGAAAAATTGCTCTTAATACATTACAGATCTACAGACTAAAGTTAGAGGCAGCTCCTCCAGGCAATCTAACACATCCTGTGAGCATGTATGATATGTTATTTATTATTCTTGTACATGTAAGGATGTAAAGAGTCCCAGGTGGGTGCGCTGCAAACTCCTCCATTGCCAGCATTTTCTCTTCGCTCTCCATTTATGCACATGAAAATTATAGGGTGAAATATAGCAGCCATCTGTGGAAGCTCACAGTGTGGCAAAGCACTGGGCAGAGATTATTTCCTGAAGTCTGTTTTAATTCCTGCATCAGCAGTTTTAAACTTTATGTTGGCGCAGTAAACCCAGGACAAAGGCAGGAGACTGTTAACAAGGCTCTGGTGCCCAAGAGACATCTATCACACTTTTTTTAGGAGCATTTTCCCCATCTCCCCTAGGAATCCACCCGGAGGAACACAAAGTTCACAACTCACTCACACGATTTCTGCTGTCTTTTAAAAATATTTCCCAATTAGACCAAGAAACCCACTTCATACATTACCAGTAATTGGCACTTCCAACAGAGCTGACCTTTCAGTTTTAGTGATAACAGTTGCTTGATAGCAACAGTTCTGACATCCCAGGCTAGTTCTAGGCCATACACACCCCTCTTCAAAGGAAACAAATTTTGCTGGTTGTTTCTACCACTGCCACTATTTCCAGACTCCCTCTTTTCACCAAAGCAAGGGCATTGCAGCGCTGATGGGCCCTCTCTGGGACACACAAGGTTTTCAGTCTCAGGAATATGCCATGACCTCTCCCTTCAGCTGAGTGGATGGATAAGATGGATGATCCAAGATGGATTTCTTGGAAATCGTTTATTTATGTACAGATGCTTGGCCAAAGCCCGGACTACACGAAGCGTGCTGAGCTAAGAGAGCTGAAAGTCCGACCCCGCAAAGGCGAGTAAGTATAAAAATACTTTCTCCAAACTCCCAGAACTAGTGATACAGTTGGAACAAAGAGAATTTTGAGCAGAGAGGGAGCAGCCAAACAGCAGGCAGGAGGGCTGTGCCAGCAGGCAGATCCACTGGGGCAGGCAGGCCCTGGGGAGCTGCACAAGGCTGAGCCACCAGCACAACCCTCTCTCCCAGCCTGCCTGCTGGGCTGGGTGGGACCAAACACAGACTGAGATCCATGCAGGAAGGATGCAGCACGTCCAGGTTCATCTACAGTAACCTTTACATCGCTGCCTTCAAAAATAGAAGGGAGTTTTGCACTCAGAGGGGTTTACAAAGAGACGGATTCAATGAGAGAAGTTAAAAGTCTGAGGTTAGAAGGCATTGCTCCTCTTTCACTGACAATGCCTCAATTTTTAATTTTCCTTGTTTCAACATCCTGAAACTTTTCAGCTAGGCATATCTTCATTTACTTGCCTTGAGAACACATTTGCATTCAGAATTATTAACCGTGTATTTTACCTGCCAACAGAAGTCTGTTATGAGCACAGATGATTACGTTTATTAAAGTACTACACTGTTATCTAATAGAAGGCAGCAATTATGTCACCAGCATCCAAACCACTCATGTCTGAAAGCACTTCAACACATGTTATTCAAATTAAAAATGCATACCAAGAGTTGATGAACAATGACTAATAGATTAGTAATAAGTGCAGAGGGAAGGAAATAAGGAACAGAGCATGGTGCACTCAGACATCCCTGAATTTTAAGGAAGGTGAAAATTCAGATGCGAGTGCTGAATTCATGGATACTTCCCAAACCAAAATGAAAAAAAACTCAGAATCCAGTGTTCTGTTGAGCCTGGAATGGAAATACAAGTTCTTTTGTACCTAGAGCTCCTTGACAGTTATGCTGGATTAAGATACAACTTGAATTAAATCATCACTATTCCAGACTGATATTCTAATTGTGCAGTTTTCTCTATCACGCAGATTTGCAATATTTATATATGTATTTTTTAAAGTGTAACTCCTACACTGCTAGCAGTGCCAGTGTCTATTTACATGCACTGGCAGACAGACAGATACACAAGCAGATACTTCGTGCAGTGAAGAGCTTTCCTTGGACAAGTGTTTACATCAGGAGGATGAAATCCTGGAAAACAATACAGGAAATCCATCCTGGGGTCTGCAAGGCTGTTGGTCCAGGACCCCAGCACCACCTGCCACATGTGCTGTCACCAGCCTGCACCTCTCCAGGCTCCTGCAGGGATCAGGTTTGGTGAGTCCCTGCCAGAAAGCAGTGACATCCCTCTGCCTCCAGACTCCCCAGCTGACTTCCACATTTTTGGGGGAACGTGATAAACTTGAACAGCCCAGACAAGCAGGTGTTATCCACCACCACGAGTACAGAGCCTCATGAACAACCCATAGACAGAGAGAACAGGAAAGATTGGATTTCTGGCCAGTCTCTTTAACTATACTTATTGGCAGATGGTAGAAATTGAGAGGATATGAAATGCCTGAAGAGAAACCCACAAATTAATAATATGCATTATTACATATTACATCAGCTGATGTAACCCAACAGCCCTGAATAACCCAGATGCACAGACTTTATAGCAGAGGCATAGAACCCCACATATTTTTTTATGAATGTTATTAACATTTCCTTAGTGCTTGTACCCATTTTTCTCTTCTTGTCAGATTCCCGATGTTTTGCTTTGATTTTTGAAGTAAACAAACTCTCAAATTCACGTCAAAATAGGGGAAAGAGAACGAGGATGTTTCGCTGTGGTATGCTGCAAGCTGTCTTGGGAGCAATGATTCACAACTAATAAAAGTGTTACATTTTGAAAAACAAAACTAAGATTGTTTGCGAAATGATGGAGTGTCAACACGTTACAACATCAGAACAAGGTGAAGAGAGGGGCACCAATGCTCTTGCTTGGAGCTGATGAAAATCCTTTAGGTCGACTCTGATACACACCACTTCCAACAATAAAAGGGCACCTCACCTGTACCGGTGTGTCCGTGGATGGAGGCAGCACCTCTGCTACCCCTAGTTATTAAATTAGTACATCTCTGGAGTCATCATGGCAAATCCCTCTGAAATGTGTGGTTGGACGTCATCACTTGCAAAACTTGACTTTGTAGAGCCTACTGAAGCGTCTTCTCCAATTTCAGTTATCACTACAATTATGTGATTCCAGTTGCCAGTTGAAATAGAATTGTTCCTTCTCTACACACTTAAAACTTGCCCAGAAAATGTCCAGTGGGGCCAAAGTAGTTTCTAGATTGACTTCAATATAATTTGGATTTTGGCCTAAATTAAAATATGCAAAAATATCAAACAACCCTCCTTTTCTCCAGATCCACTTTCTACATAGGTGTTCAAGCTGAGGGTGGGTGGTTGACTCACCAGCTGTTCCCTATGAAAGTGCTGTTCTCCAAAAAGTCCTAATAGTATGATTTTAAAAGGATGATAATGTCAATCTAATACCTACAGACTTACTAACATTCTAAAGTTGATAAAAATTAGTCATTTGCTTTACATCCATTTGTTCCTGCAATGTACAAACGAATGCTCGTGGAGAATAAAGTAATTAAATGGCAACACAGACTGGTATAAAACCACTGCTGAGTTAGATTGTTCAACTCTGCACCTACAAAAGATTAAAAACATTTCCTCAGCTTCAACTGAAAAGTGGGACGTAGCTCAAAAAGGCAGCACTAAAGACAGAATTTGATTTGAAGACTTTCTCAACCAAGGGGATTTAAAAGAACAATTTTAAAGGGTAATATCCATTAAAAAGTAATGAA